TGTCGCAGGTATGGATGTATCTAGATGTATATTAGTTCTAAATACATCCATTTCTGCGACGAATAATTTGGAACGGAGGGAGTAACTAGCAAGAGGCCCATGCGTTGCACGGAACATCAAGATGCATTTATACGAGCTGTTTGTCTCGTGCGAGACAAAGATGAATGAGGGAAGGCCTTATCTGCAAATGTGGAGAGGGGTACGGGTATCTTTTTGCAAAATTGACATAGTTTGCTTTCTATCCGTCAGATATAGATCAGACGGTCTATATTGCAGGATGACAGACACACCATCATCACCAACTCAGTTTTTTATAAGAGTAGAGATAAATATTTTTTGTCGAGAAACCAGAAAGATATTCCAATCTACGCAACACGCACTACTTTTAATTGGATGAGCTAGCTCCACGTCTAAAACATAACTGTAGCATAAACGTATGATTCGATATGATATTCTCATTGCTCTAGTTCTAGCAAACAAGAGACAATGTGACAATAACCTCCATGAATAAAGCACTCTTACAAGAACAATTCACAGAACAACCCATTTTCACCATTCGTTCCCTTTCCCTTCCCTCTTGGCCTACAGAGACGTTGCTGAGCACATCCTCGCCAATGCATTCTACACTACCTGCCCCCTATAATTGAGCGTGCGAGCCAGCGCTAGCTGATGCCAAAAAGGATTTTACTGCTCGGCCTGTTCGCAGAATATACTGCTACGTAGATTATGCGGCTTGATAAGGCTAAGGCAGCCTATGAGCTTGCAAATTAACCGCACATAGATATAGTTGTATCCGTCTGCCGCTCCCCCGACCTCGGCTGGGAAGGAGGATGACAGCCTTGTCGCCTCCCTCGTGGTGTTATTCCCTCGGAATAGATGCCTTTGCTCGATGCTCGAATTTTATTTTATCAAGGAAGAACGAATCTGCCCCAAGCTGAACCAATCACCACATAACGGTCCACTTGTCGCGATCCTAACTGCAAAACTCCAGTATTATTTTCCTAGGCGCCATCCGCAAACGGTTCATCGATTTTAGGCAC